TGAAATGGGGAATTCAAACCAGGAATCCAGCATACGTAATGAGAATCAAATGGCAGCCACCTGCAGGACACATGCAGAGCAGTGCTTAAAAGATTCAGAGTTCTGAACCTTTGTTAGCAAAAAGTAAGGCAAAGAACATAAAATAGGCCTGTTAATATATAGATTTTTAAAGTTTTTACAAAGTAAATCCATGTGGTAGGGCATCCTATAATCCTGGGAGGCTGAAGCAGGAGGCTCAAAAATTTGAAGTCAGCCTAGGCTACAAATTGAGACTCTGTCTCAAAATGCACAGTCCAAACCCAGATAGGTCCCAACAAAGTGTGGCTTAAGTTACTATAGAATTAAACTAATGTGCATTGCTTTACTTGCCAGGTGGGGTATCGACAGCCCTTAGTTGCCGTCCAGGTCAGCTTTGGATTGAACGTTACAAAGAAAGAAGTAACAGTTGAGTGCAAAATTGATGGATCACAAAACCTAAAAAACAAGGATGAACGCGACAAGTTTTTGGGACGAGTTGTGTTCAAAGTCACAGCACGTGCCTAGGAGTAGGGTGTCTCCAGAATAAACGTTGTGCTGTCTCCATTTTGTGTCAGCTGGACCTGCCATTCTAGGATTATGAGGCCACCTTGGAGAAGCTGGTGTGGTACACACTGGGGTGATATCATAACGTGCTTCCAGATCATAGCATTCAGTGTCCTCTGCAGTAACTGCCTGCTGCCTCTGCTGCCCTTTGAACCAGTGTGCCGTCGCCAGATAGGGACCAGTGAGCACCCAATTCCAAACGTGCAGAGTGGGGGGGTCTCGTCTTTTTGTGTGGTGTAATTGCCAAATGTCTAAAGCTTAATGTGCTGTGCTGTGTAAATATTTTATGGATTTAACACTGGTAACTGTCATATTTTGACATCGTCAAAGTTTTAGGGATAAAATGGTACCTTGCCAACATCAAGTGACTTTATAGCTGTAAGAAATGTGTGTGGAGAAGTTCTGTATGGGAGGAGAAAAAAGAAAATAAAAGTGGATCTGAAATATCAACTTGGGTTTTGTGTATGTCTTTTTTAAATTAATTTTTACGTCTGCATTAATTTGTGGATCTTTTTGGTTAAGAACACAAACTTTTTGTTGTAAAACTTTAAAAAAGTTTTAGTGGGGTTATTTTGAGTATTGGTATGAAGTCTTCCACATTTGTGTGTCTTAGACCGTAGATGAAACACCATTTTTTTGGTTAAGATGAATATATACCAAATTAAATGAACTTAAATTCCCAAGACAAATTGTATAGTACATAAACTTGTGTTGTTACTGCTTTTATGTAGCAGGCTATGGCTCTAATAAAAATACAAATTGTGAAATATAAAAAACAACTCAAAGCTTGGAACCAAGTAGTGGAGTCTTATTCACATTCATTGGCTGGTGTCCTGGAATAGCCTCTGGTCTGTTCTTGGTAGGACTGTCACAACCACAGCTC